CTGAGTCAACCCTGAGCCGGTGAGATTTGAACCGCTGAACTGCTGATCTAGCAGTAGCCTGCAGTGCTGCATTTAACCACTGCGCCACCTTGGCTCTTAAAGGTTTTCAATCCTGGATTTAAAAAAAAGAATAGGTATGAAACTTAACGAAATAATGATTAGGCCAAGATATGTTTTGGAAACCTCAAGAAGAGCTAGTTTCTGTATTCTTGAACTAACTGAGTAATAATTTCTACAGCTTTTTGGAGAAAAAGTATTTCTCAAAAAATTTTGGTAGATATATTCCAAAGTTCAGATCTAATAGATGGGGGATTTTCCTAAGAGCTATAAAGACATTTGCTTGGAGTAAAGTTCTGTAATAAATCACTATCTTAATATCTTCTCCAGGATATTACCGGCCCAGCCACACCACCAAATACACTGAAGAGAGTCCCGGTGGAGACTTCGATTTCTTTTCTCGCTTGGTGAGCTCTTGGGAAGAAGCAGCTAAAATTCCTAGTGAAGCCACTCGCCAAGTGGTAGTGAGATCTGGTAAGAGAAAGACATGCAACGTGGAAACATTTAATTGTAGGCAACAAATTCCAAACTTCTGCTTTGAAGATACTTTTTGTAGACTATGAGTCTCCAATCCCCAGTATGTTGACTGGCATTGGGCCATGGCATGCCAGCAACTGGGCCACACAAACAAGTGAGGCCCCGTTTGCGGTATGCAGGCAAGCATGCAAAACCACGGTATGCCTCCGTCCCTGGAAAAAAACCTTTCTCCATGGAACCAGTCCCTGGTGCCCAAGAGGTTGGGAGAACATTGTTGTAGACTACATGGAAACTAGGTGTTGTGGCCCGCCAGCAGTCAGCAGAGTCGGATAGTGAGGAGGTTGGAGAAGAACATGGGCAGATCCTAGAGGCTGAGGAAAGCTCTCCGTTGGAGGCAGAGAGGGAGCTAGACAGCCATGAGGCAGAGGAACAGCTGGAGCCTGTTCCTAATGTGCGCATGAGCAGAGCTGCCAGAGACAAGAACAACTAAGAAAGCAGGGTCGTCTTAGGAGTAAAGCCACACCTTGGAGGAGATTGGCCCCTCCCATAGGAAACAAATGAGGACCGAATGGGGAGTGGGCTTTTGCAGGAAACAATTTGTTTATTCAGTCGAGTTCTGTTTATGACTATAAGAGGCTCTGTGCCAAGTGCTGCCTTTCCTTGTTTGGAAACTAGTTATCTGGCAGTTCTCCAAGCGAGATAAGGTTCGTGTTGATAAACATTCCTCGGAAAGACTGTTTGCTAAGCCTTGCTGATTGTGAATGTGTAAATAAAAGGGGTTTTGCCAGGAGCAAGACTCTGCTTCTTGCTTTTTAAGGAAGCCTGGGTCAGAACACGAAGAAGCTTCTGATTCCATTCTCCATAGTGAGGGGAAAAGTATCCAGGATGGGTTGACCTTGTCCTCTCATTGATTGGGCTAGTCAGATAAGCTCTTTGGGCCCGCCCTAGTCACCAGATACCACCCAGTTATCGACTCAGCCCCTCAACGGGCGGCTGTGATCATCCCAAGCTCCTGGAAAATTTAAAAGAAAGGATTGAACTCATTGTTAACTTGATTGCATTTGCTGCCTCCCTGCCTGAGTGAGTAACTGGCTCTTGGCTGATTCCCTGGCCAGGAAGAGAGAGAGGGAGCACGCGCAGCAAGCCCTTCAGGGCAATGCGCAGCCCAGGTCATAAAGAGAGACCTAGGGCACTAATCGAGACTGCGGGCGAGGGGACGCTCCCTTGGAAGCCCCGGGAAGGCAGTCACGTTGGAGAGGCTCAGCTGTGCCAGAGCGTTCTGCCGTTCCCCCACAGGGGGTCAAGCGGCGAACTGCAATGTTTTTAAACGCAACGGAGCACCTGCGCCTGCCTGCGAGTGCTGGAGAGAGATAGCGGCCCGCAGGAGCTTGCAAAGCTCGGAAGAGAGTGGAGGAAGCGAGAGAGAGAGCGCTCTCCAGCGGCAGCAGAAGCCGCGCGCCAGCCCCAAAGGCACAAGCCGCTTCCACGTGTTTCCAGGGAGAGGAACTTTTTGAATTTGGAGCCAGTGGCCATTTTGGAACCACGTGATCCAAGATGGCAGCACAGAGGATGCCAGCAAGACTCAAGCCTCCAGCCTAGCAGCCCCACCGGAGGAGCAGCTAACCAGGTCAGAGATTGCTACAGAGGCTGCTAATGGAGGAGGAGGAGGAGGTAAGGCAAAGGCAAAGAAAAAGCACGTCTCCTCCAAGGGGGCCAAAGAGCCAGGCTGCAGCTCCAGGCTCCCAAAGCCTGGCTCCAAATACGAAAGGCGGAGGCACCAACCTTGGAGCGCATTTGCCTACCAAGCATGGGGTCTGCAAACACCAAGCTCTATTACAGTGCATTCCACACGAAGCGCGGCCACCTCAACGGCCTGAGCCACCCAGGCCTCATTGACTAAGATCTGTAGGGCAGCTACGTGGTCTCCCCACTCACCATTCATGAGGAACTACAAACTGTACTCCTTTGCCTTGGTTCACCGACAAAAGCGCGCCCGACAAAAGCGCGCCCAACGAAACCGCGGTGACAAAACCGTGTGTTCTAAACTGCACCGACGAATGAGCGCTGAAGCGCGCCAGCAATAGTGCGCCGACAAGCGCGCCCTAACCCTTACCTTAACTTAAATTGCGCTTCTGTCGGCGCACTGTTGTCAGTGCGCTGTTGGCGCATTGATGACGTCGTGGTTTTGACAGCGCGCTTTTGTCGTGCGCACATTTGTCAGGTCACGCTTTGCCTCTGCATAGGCTTCATTAATTGGGATAGGAGTACCCAGCTCCTCCCTGATATGGTTATGCAACATGAGCGTTATGTTTGATGGTTGAGCTGTTCTGTTGAAGAAATAAATAAAGGTTGAAACTAAGATAAAAGGCTGGAGTGGATGACGCAGCGAGTTGGATAAGGTTCTTCGCTGATAACTGGGTGACCAGGGCGTGGCCCAAAGAGCTTATCTGACTCAGCCCAATCAATGAGACGACAAGGTCAACCCATCCTAGATACTCCTCTCCCACTATGAGAAGAGGCGTATCAGGTAAGTTACCAACGCCCTTTCTCATTCATTGTGGCTTTTGGTCACAAATGTTCTTGACTGTGTTTCCCCTGATGAAGCAAGCACACCTCTTTCCACTTACCACAAGCATAACTGGAATAGCGTGTGGTGTTGGGAGTCACGTACGGTTAGTCCTCGACTTACAACAGTTTTTTAAAGTGACCAAAGTTACAACAGCACTGAAAAAAGTGACTTGCAACCGTTTTTCAGGCTTACAACCACTGCAGCATCCCCATAGTCACATGATTGACCTTTGGCAGCTGACACATTTATGACGGTTGCAGTGTCCCGGGGAGGGGGGGGGATCATGTGATTCCCCCTTTTTTGACCTTCTGACAATGGGGAAGCCGGATTTACTTAACAACCATGTTACTGACTTAACCATTGCAGTAGCTAATTTAATGAATGTGGCAAGGGAGGTAATAAAACGGGGTAAAACTCACTTAACAAATCTGGAGATTTCGTGATGATGCATGAGTGGTATTTTGCTTTTATATAAAGCGATTCTATCCCTCCTTTTGCATTTTTTTCTTTAGTGATTCTGTCCAACCATTTCTTTGATATTAGTGTAACTTGTGTTGCGGAGAGTTGGCCATGGTGAGTCATAACGCAGAGTTGGCAACGACGAATGGCCATAGACCCATCTCATCAGTTATTGTGTATGGGAAGCCTGTGTGGAATGTAACTCTGTAACTATATCTCTGCTTGCTTTAAGGTGCTGTTCTGGGTAAAGACGGTGGCGCCATTAGCCAGATGATATGGCCTTTCCGCTTTGGGCTGGGAGGCCCCATCGGTTCCGGACACCAGCATTTCCCGTGGATCCACGTCGCCGACTTGTCAGGAATTGTGAGCCACGGGCTGCAGAAAGAGGGCCTGAGGGGCATTTTAAATGGTGTGGCACCATCCGCCGTGGACACCACCAATGAGGATTTTGCCCGAGCAATGGGGTCGGTGCTCAAACGTCCCGCCTTCTTGCCCCTGCCGGGTTTTGTAGTGAAAGCCGTTTTCGGCTCCGAGCGAAGTACCATGCTGCTCGACGGGCAGCGGGTGGTCCCCAAGAGGACTCTCGAGAGCGGCTACATGTTTGCATTCCCCGACCTTTCCTCTGCTCTCCAGGATATTTTAGATTGACCTGAGGAGGCCTGAGGCTGCATGTCGACATGTTTCCGTTTTGTCTAATACTTCCTGGGTAGGCGCAACGCTCAGTTCTTTTCAGTAGGTTGGCTTGCAATGCCGTAGGTTGTTTTGAGCACCGGAGTTTTCAAGTCAGGAAGTTGATCTGTTCAAAAAAAAAAAAAAAGATTATCTTATTCCCAAAGAATAAAATCTATGTCTATGGTGCTGTGGGGAGAAGGAAGAGTAGTTTATGGTGGTTACTCCTGTGGACGGTAGATTTATTATCTTTTCTTCTAGAAAGTTCTCTTATACCACAACTTAACGGTGATCGGGATGGGGTAACAAAATGTTACAGTATCTGTGAAGCAAACGCACTGGTCTTTGAATGGAGAATATACCAGTGGTGGATTCCCATGTTGGGTGAACTTTTGAATGTATTTATTTATTTGGAAGGGGGGTGGCCTAGAGGTCAGGATCCTGGGCTTGGCATCCAGAGAAAACAGGATGCAGTGGTCCCAAAAGTGCTTTTTTTTTTTTTTTAAAGTCAACTAGACTTTTTTTTCCTTGAAGACGTTTCGCTCCTCATCCAAGAAGCTTCTTCGGTTCTGAATGAATGGTTGAGGATGGGAGGGTTTATATTCCTCGCAATCATCCGGTCATTTTGAGAGTCGTTGAGGCCACTGGAAGATTTATCTGTGCCGTCCGGGTCAAATGAATGAGTGTAGAACAGGGCTGTGAAACTCGCCGCCTGCGGGCCGGATGCATCACGCGCTGGCCACGCACATGCCCGGTTTAGTGATTTGGGGGTGGGGGGAGTCTTGATATGTCACATGACGCCACGAGTTTGACACCCCCGATGTAGAACCTTCTTGGAACTGCTGAAAGGACTGTTGCAAACAGGAGATAGGAGGCGTGTCATCTTTTGAAGACAGAAAAGTTTGGACAAGAGAGGAACTACCGGTTGGAGAGAGGGGTCAAAGAAGCCATCTGCATTAAGATTGGACAGCCCTCTTTCAACAGAGGATACAATACCGTTTACAACACAGTCCTTTCAGCAGTTCCAAGAAGGTTCCCCACCCATTTCCATGACTCAGGTACAGATAAACCTCCAGGTGGCCTCCATGACTCCCAGAAAGAGCGCTAACGACCAGACAACTTCAAGGAATATAAACCCTTCCATCCTCCACCATTCAATCTAAGAACCGAAGAAACTTCTTGGACGAGATGCGAAACTTCTTCGAGGAAAAACAAAGTCCAGTTGCCTTCTGGGGGAAAAAGAAAAGCACCTTTGGGACAAGCATGGTCCGGAGAACTGAGAATCTCCGTAGACAAGGATGCCGAAGGGGGCTTGCCAGAGGCTGGCAGGAAACCCCACCACCACCACCTATGAGCTTCATTGGACTCAATGGCTTCTCAGTCTGATCTTTTCCCCAAGGCCACAGCCCTGCTCTTGACTTAAGATCTCTTCCACCCCAGTCTTTGAATTAGCCTGACATGTGAGGCCGTTGTGCGGTTTGCTTGCTTTTCACTTTGTGCAATTTTTCAGTAAATCATGGTTAAGCAAATCAGATCTCCTGTCTTCTCTCTTGTTGACGTCCTTGTGTGCTCATGATGTCCTGAATGCATTTATCTGGTTTTATTATGTCCCCCCGCCTCAAATATTTTATTAACCCGGTGAAGTCCGTTTTGAGTTGGGATCGTATTCTAGTCAACTTCTGGACATGCCCATGTAGTTTTCTCAGCAATACTAAAAGTAAAGGTTCCCCTCGCACATAGAGTCGTTCCTGACTCTAGGAGGCAGTGCTCATCTCCGTTTCAAAGCCAAAGAGCCAGCGCTGTCTGAAGACGTCTCCGTGGTCATGTGACCGGCATGACTAAACACTAAAGGTGCATGGAACGCTGTTACCTTCCCACCAAATGTGGTTCCTATTTTTTCTACTTGCATTTTTTACATGCTTTCGAACTACTAGATTGGCAGAAACTGGGACAAGTAACGGGAGCTCACTCTGTTACGCGGCGCTAGGGATTCGAACTGCCAAACTGCCGACCTTTTCTGATTGACAAGCTCAGCGTCTTAGCCACTGAGCCACTGTGTCTCTTCTGCAATACTAAAGAAGCAGAATATATTTATTTATCAAAAAGCTTTCTGGGGGTGATTTTGGATGGCCCTGCCTGCAGCTAAAATAAAGCTGCTGAGCTTCCAGATCCAGATCAAGCAATAGCACTTTGACTTATATACCGCTTCACAATACTTTACAGCCCTCTCTAAGCAGGTTTACAGAGTCAGCCTGTTTGCCCCCAACAATTTTGGGCCCACATTTTACTGACATCCGCAAGGATGGAAGGCGGAATCAACCTCGAGCCTGGGGAGATTTGATCTGCCAAATTTCAGGCAGAAGTAGCCTGCAGTACTGCACTCTAACCACTGCACCAATGCAGCTCATCCAGTTCCTTTCAGCTTTAGTTAAAATGTCATTATTTGTAATAGCGCTGGAAAATCAGAACGTTTTGGAAACTGTTCTTACTTGCATCCACTTGGAGAAGGGGATATATATATATATATATATAGTCACAGCTTCTGAACAGCTCGACTTTAGAAGTTGTGAGTGCTTCATCCTTGGAGGCTTTCAAGAAGAGACTGGACAGGTGCTGTCAGAAATGGTGTAGGTAAGGCCTTCTGCTTGAGCAAGGAGTTGCATTAGATGACCTCCAAGGTCCCTTCCAGTTCTGTTAACCACAGCAGAGTAGAAATCTCAGGGGTGTTAAAAATGCCAAGAGGCATTTCGCAATAGCAGTAGCACTTAGACTTATATACCGCTTTACAGTGGTTCACATCCCTCTCTAAGAGGTTTTAGAGAGTCGGCCTCTTGCCCGCAACAATCGAAGTCCACATTTTACCAACCTCGGAAGGATGGAAGGCTGAGTCAACCTTGAGCCTGGTGAGATTCCATCTGCCATATTACAGGCAGCTGGCAGTCAGCAGAAGTAGCCAACCACTGAGCACCATGGCTCTTTTTCATTTTTTGCAAGTCCCCTATCCAATCCTAATGGCCATTCCAGCTTTTTGGATGCCTATTTTCAAACATCTGAAATGAAGGACAGGTAGTCCTTGACTTGAGATCAGAATGGAGCCCAAAATGTATGTCATTAAGTGAAATATTGTTCACGTTGAGTTTTTGCCCCATTTTACAACCTTTCGGGTTGCAGTTGTTAAGTGAATCACTTCAGATGATATGTTAGTAGTCCGATAGTTAAGCGAATCTGGCTTCCCCATTGACTTTGCTTGTCAGAAGGTCGCAAGAGGGAATCACGTAACACACACAAACACACACACACACGCACAGGACACTGCCACGGTCATAAACGAGAGACAGTTGTAAGCATCCAATTAGAAATCACGTGACGATGGGGATGCTGCAATGGTCATAAGTTTGAAAATGGTCGTAAATCACTTAGGACCGTTGTAACTTGAGGACTACCTGTATAACTGAAAGATCAAAATTAATAATTGATTATGTGTTATAAAATTAGTGGTGGCACTTAACAACCATATGCAGTCCATTTAGTGTCTGTCCTTCCTTCCCTCCTCCTGTCTTCCTTCCCTCCTCCCTCACCCTCCTATTCCCCTTCCTTTCTCCCTCCCTCCCTTCCCTCCCTCCTTCGTTCCTCCCTNACTAGAAAAGGGGGCTCTCCAAATTTGGCAACTTTTAAGACTCCTGGACTTCAATTCCCAGCATTTCTCAACCGACCTTGCTGACTGGGGAATTCTGGGAGTTGAAGTCGACAGATTCACAGTGTGCAGCTGCTTTCAAAAAAGCCAACATAATTCTAGGCTGCGTAAACAGAGGGATAGACTCAAGATTACGTGAAGTGTTAATACCACTTTATAATGCCTTGATAAGGCCACACTTAGAATCCAGTTTTGGTCGCCATGATGTAAAAAAGATGTGGAGATTCTAGAAAGAGTGCAGAGAAGAGCAATGAAGATGATTAGGGGACTGGAGGCTAAAACATATGAAGAACGGTTGCAGGAACTGGGCATGGCTAGTTTGATGAAAAGAAGGACCAGGGGTGACATGATAGCAGTGCTCTAATATCTCAGGGGTTGCCACAAAAAAGAGGGAGTCAAGCTATTCTCCAAAGCGCTTGGGGGCAGAAGAAGAAGCAATGGGTGGAAACTAATCAAGGAGAGAAGCAACTTAGAACTAAGGAGAAATTTCCTGACAGCTAGAACAATTAATTGATGGAACAACTTGCCTCCGGAAGTTGTGAACGCTCCAACACTGGAAGTTTTTAAGAAGAGATTAGATAACCATTTATCTGAAGTGATGTAGGATTTTCTGCTTAAGCAAGGGTTTGGGCTAGAAGACCTCCAAGATCCCTTCCAACTCTGTTATTCTGTTATTCTGATCTTAAAGTTGCCATGTATGGAGACCCATGTACTTAAGACGCATTTGTGGGAAGATTATTATTATTATAGGGGGGCCATTTTCAAATTTGTTTTTCGATTGACAACTTTTCCAGACTGGAATGGATCTGTTCTGCTTCCCTGCCTACAGGAATACACATATAGTACCCAAAGTCCCATTTCATAATTTATTTCCAATATTTCGTTGAAAGGAAAAAATAAAACAAAACGGATCCTGCATCTTCGCTCACAAGCTGAATGTCCTCACCTACTTAACCCTTATGACCTGTTAGAGGATTCGTAATAGGATTAACGTTTACTGTCATTAGTTAAGGTACCTCTCTCCAGCTTGATGGGATTGTTATTTACCTGCAAGAAAGCCAAGGCCTTTATTTCTCCCTGACATTCTATGTCGAGAGAACAAGCTCTTGATTTAGATCTAGAAGAAGTGAGTTCTTAGATTCCAGCCATGGCTCTTTTGCTACAAACATGTTTTTCCCCCCTAGGTGGAACAATCACCAGACTTTAAAGTTGTGAAAATAGGCAATCTTAGTGGAAGGATAAAACTACTGTATTTTTTGGAGTATAAGATGCACCTCCCCCCTCCCTCTAAAAGAGTGTGCGTCTTATATACCAAATACAGCCATTTTTGGCCTCCTGAAGCCCCACCCCCACATCCCATTTTTACAAAAAATGGGCTGTTTTTTCCAAAAATGGATGAGTTTTTGCCTTTCTCCAGCACCAAGAAGCACTCTGCAGGCTTCAGCGGGGCTGAGGGAAGGGAAAAACCCCTCTGTTTTTTTGAAAAACAGCCCGTTTTTCCACCCATTCTTTGCAAAAATTGAGGGCTTTTTGCCTTCCCCCAGCCCTGCTGAAGCGTACAGAGTGCTCCTAGGGGACGGGGAGGACAAAAACGTTTTTTTTCTTACTTACCTCTTACTTACTTACTGCGCCTTATATACTGGTGCATCTTATAGTCCTAAAATACAGTATCTTTGAAAGACTGTCAGATTTTGCAGTAGAAATCACATCCAGAAAGCACACAGATAACTGATTCAGCAGGATTCATTAACTTTTTTACATACATAATACATAATGTACATAATGATTCAATGTACAATAACAATAGCAGATTCTTCCAACCCGGTAGAGAGGAAAGATAGCTTCAGTTCGGAATTCAGAGCAGGCAACTCCAAGCTAGTTTTGTTTCTCAGCACAGACTCAAAACTATAGCCACGCCCAGGTGCCTAGCTGTCTCCTGCAAATACCATTTCACTTTCTAAACAGCCCTCATTGGCTGACTTAGTTGCTATGCCTTTTCATTGGCTGACCTTGTTACCATGTCTCTTCCGGTCATGAATATTCTGACAAAGACTGATGTCTTTTTTTTGGTGGGGGGAACCTTCTGCAGGTGG